GCCTAAAACATATTTAAAAAAAAATCCATTCAGAGCAGAGAGGTATGTGCAGGGCAGTGTGAGGCAAAATATTCCCGAAAAACTATTTGCTATCATTAACATAACATAAAAACTCAGAATATGCGGAGGTTTACTGGTGGTTTTGGATAGTAAATAAAATAGTTGTAGACATTGTGCCCCCTGGTTCCTATCACCACTACTGTAAAGAAATAACAGTTGATAGGTTTCTCTAAAACAGATCATTTCATGTGAAACAACTGTGAATGACTTTATTTACATCTTGTTGACTGAATTATGCAGAAATTCTCCTTTAACTCCTTTTCACTTAGAAAATCTGTCCTTACAGCATGTTTTGACTCTGTTTTGTTGTAAATTATCTAAAAAAATGTACTTAATAAATATTAACACATCCTATACAGAGAACACATTTTTGTGCATTTTAATGCACAATTACTGTTTGTTTTTTGTTTTTTTGCTGAATTTAACATATTGGGGAAAACATAAAACATGTCTTGTGCAAAAGTCAAAAAGTTAGTTGTTTTAGTTTTTTCCAGCATGATAAACCCAGGAAATAAATAGAAACTGGGCACTAAAATGTGCAGAAAAATGTCATATTTAAGATTGTTCCCTGCAGAGGATGTGTTAACTTATTTTACTTAGAAAATCAACTAAATATGTCTTTGACCGGGGTGTTCAAACATTTGAATATGTTTTTTATAAAAAATATCCTTAAAATTGTAGCACCCCTAACAAAAAACACCGTCCTGCTTCCCTGTAAGCAAATCTGTTTTAGAATATTTAACACAGTGTGGGATTGTTTAAACATGCAGTTTCCACAGTGCTAATCGGCTTATACGCTTCCTTTACTTGTTAGCTACATTAGCGTCATAGCTTCAGTGCAAACCAAAGCAGCAAACTTCAGACACCAAACAGGTCTTGGCTGATAGACTATATTTAGGGTAGGAGGAAAACTGTGTGAACTTATTTTTTCACCAAACTATTGCTGAATTAGTCCTTTAGAGTCTAGCCTTCAAATGTAATTTAAAACGGCAAGCGGAAGCAGGAAGGAATGAAAGTGACCCTTTTCTGTTGTGTTTTGTTTACCAGGGGAGGTTAATAGGGGCACTAACCGCTTTAGCTCTCACATATGAGCATGGCAGGACTTCAGCCCTAATCCCCTCAGGCCCTAATGGGCCGTGCAGAGGCTGTTAGCACATGGAGAGACATGGGAACTACTGCTAACACACGCCTACACATGCACGGACTGTTTGGGACATGTGCTCAACTACAGCCCACAGTCCTCACATATGTGTGCATACATAGTTTGTTTTTATACCTTGTCAGGACATGCGATCATAAATATCTCATATGTATTATATATGTAAACATCTATGGGTAATACAATTTTTTAAGCCTAACCCTAAATCAAACCCCAAACTTAACAGTAAAAGAAACAGCTTCGCTCCTTAAGAAATGGAGCTTTTGTAAAAAAGCATGTTACATCCACAAAGTACAAAGTACATTCACTGACTCATAAACACATGGACACACTATGTCCTTCTTGCTAACAATTTTATGCAATTTCTGTGTTAATTATTTTGCTCCCAGAATAGAGAGATAATTTGTGCGGCATCATTATCTGGTCATTTCTTCTCTGAAGGGCATTTGCTTTTTCAGGGTTCTCCATTAAGCTTTCTGCCAAAGAGAACTGGTGCTTCTAATGCGAAATAAACAGGAACACACAGAACAATCTATGAAGACAAAAGCAATATGCACTTTTTTCTCTATTTTCTTTATTACGACTCTTAGTCAGAGATGTTTAATTCAACAGTCAGCTTTTTCCTACACTGTTCAAGCCCTTAAGAATTACCCGAACAATGTTAGGAACTGTCATTTTCAGTCATTCAGTGTTTATTATGTTCTTTCGTTCATAACATCTGTGTTCCTGTCTTTTATCTAATTAGTACTATTTGTACTAGCAGATCTTATTTGGCCTGCAAGCTTGCCAGCCGTTTCTAACTGTGATGTCTTGATAGTTACACATTTACTGTTTTCCACTGCATTTTAATATAAAACAGCCCTGATTTAGTGATCTTTACAGCACAACTCTGCAAAAACTGATTTCCCCTAGTTTTAACTTCTCAATGCAATCAAATGAAGCGCTCCATTCAGGAGATTTTTCTGTTGTATAAGAGGGCCTCTAGCCTCTGGTTGTTTGGCTTTGCATCCATTTCAGCAGTCTGGTTAAATGCCAGTGCATGAAATCAACACTCTTGGCTTTAATTTGATGGTGCTGTTTTGGCTAATAATGCTGGGACATGTGCTGCAAACACGCAGCTGAACTCTGTATTGACTGTTTCTGCAACGAAACAAACCTTTCAACCCATGACATTTATTTTCACTGCCGTGAGCCCACAGAAACGTCAAAGACCTGAGTCTTACAGTAAACTACAGGCCGACTGAAGCTTTCTTGGGACCTGAAGAAGGAATTTTTGGGGGACCCCCATCTTGCTCTCTGATGTTCTGTAACATTAGAGTATGACTAATAACAGTGACGACCACAAGCTTTCTAAATTATATGAACTTACAACTGGATAATTTGTGTTTTACTGTTGATTTGATGCTTGTTTGGTTAAGTTACAGTTTAAATTACAGATCACTTTCAGCATTCTGGATCCAGGAGTCTCACCACATGTATTTCTTGCTTACCCAGCTAATCGTTTAACTTAGTTTGATCTAATCCTGAAGGCAGTATGACAGTGCTGCTTTTCTACCTTTATAAATGGTTTACTTTCCACATATTTAGGTAGTAAGAATTCTTTTTCCTTCTTCGGCGACTCACATTTTATACGATTGGCTGGTTGTCATAAATGTAAAGCTTTCATGTTCATGCACATGAGGATAAAGCACATCTAAACCTGCATTAACAGAGAAAGTTGTTAACCGCTGTTGCAAAACAAATAAACCACGTCTGCATTTGCTCGGTTTTGTGAAGTTACTCTGTGAAGAAAAAAGTCTATCTTCACCTTAACCTGCTTGGTTCGACAGACCCAGGATAAACTACTTCTACAAGCCAAAACACAAAGCATAACATTAAGACCACAATGAAACAAAATATCTTAAAATTATCTTATCTTAAAGCTTTTTCTCTTCATCTTCTCTTTTTCAGCTTCAGATGCATACAGTGTTTTTTGGGGGACATGATTGACTGTTGTTTTTTTCCCATCACTCAAACATCTTACAACAACATAATGGTGCAGTAATAACTGGCAGCCATGGAGCTCTAAGTAGCTGCTTATGTCGCTTATTAGGCAGAGCCGGCACTGTAACAACTAAACCGTGACAATTGACAGCTATGCAATTTTGTTATTTAGCAGGTTAGTTAGGCTTCTTGTGACATACATGATGAGTCAAACTGTCAAAACAGTCGCATTTGAGACCAGTGGCACGCATCACTGAAAAATAATCTAGATATCTGGATTCATGCATAATGAATAAGCATAATGAAGTGGCAGGCTTCTCAGGTCAAACTCTGTTCTTGCACGAGTGCTCTTAAATCAAAATTAAATTTGCATTTTTTAAAAAAGAAGGAACTAACATAGAATCCATATATTGCTCTGTTAAACCAAAGGTACCCATAAATCATCTTTGTATAGAAAGACTGTACAAGCGTGGGAAGACTTACCATCATAACCACTTCAGATTACTAATCTAAAACGTATTCTACATTCATCCCTTAAACTGCAAGGCCCACACTTCACAATCAAAACTTCAGAACATACATATTAGTTTCAAAGTATTAACTGAGGTTTATTTATTATATATTATATATTGGTTGATTGGTTGGTTGAGCGGAAGGAATTGCTGACATTAAAACATATTAAATGCCACATTCACAGCCCAGTTTATTTATTTATATAACTGTTGTATAAAAGCAATAGAACACTCAAGGTCATGTGTTATCGTGAATAATATCACAGCTGTGATGATCGACAGTGACCAAATCACAGCTGTGATGATATTTTGTGATAACACACTCCCTCCCGTGTTCTATTGCTTGAGTATATTGTTATAGTAGTTACTAAATAAGTCTTAGGATTATCGGAATAATAAACATGCTGTTACAGTCTTTAATGCCATGGCCAAAAAGCAGCTATTTTCTTTAAATTTACTCTTTACATTTAATAATATGATTTCTTTAAGCTGTCATCACATTGAATGTAATATATGAACATGAACAAAGGCAATTTTTATTTTGTTCACGTTTACCATTTTGATAAAGCAAACCTATGCAAACCATACCGTGTCCTTATATTGTCACTTTGACAAAACAAATCAATATTACGGCCTTTCCAATCTGAACTGTGTTCTGTACATGTGTGCTCTCTCAGAAACTATCGCAGTGCATCCAACAATAAAGGCAGCATTGTGCTTCTTTTATATAGTAACAGGAAACACAGGAGCACACAGAAAGCTCCAGCTCCACATGCTGATGCATTTTACTAAGACCAACATATGCGTAGCTCAATAACTCTGGGGGGGGAGATTTTGAAAGACTACTACAAAGTTTTACAACTTAATCTCTTGCATCAGCAACTGCTCATTGGCTTCCATTATAAGTGTGTTTCGAGATAGACTTTTTTCTTATTCTCTAAGTACAAAAAAAAGTGTAGAATTAACTGTCTGTGGTAACTGACTTTACAATATAGAGGTTACAGGTTAAGAAACACTGCAGTATTCCTTTAATGAGTTAAAGGGGACAAAGCCAAATGTACTGCAATTACACATATTAGGTAAGAGAAGTTAAACACTGGGATGAATGAATGTGTCTGTTAGGAATTCTTGTGAGGAAATGAATAAAAAATAGCTAATTGATAGCAGAAACAGAGAGAGAGACAGAGAAAGAGAGGGAGACAGAGAGAGAGAGAGAGAGAGAGAGAGAGAGAGAGAGGGATAAGGGTGATGTGAGTGGATGAGAGGTCAGGGCCTGTGCTCCTTACCGGATAGCCTTCTGTTTTCTTCTGGCACCACTTCAGTAGAGCGTTCCTCTTAGATCCCCCATACTCCCGCGCCAGAGCAGCCAGAGGGTCTGTTCTTTCCACACTAACACCAGGGGACAAACATGCACACACATACATGCGGTCACTCACACTGCATCTGTGCTTGTGCGAGTGTATGTGCGCTCAAGGGATGTTTATTTGAATTTATAAGACGGAATTTATGACAGTTTGCAGGAAGTACAAGCACGACTTAGTGTGCGTACACTAGATACATAAATGCATTTCTCAATTTGTATTACTTAGAGTAAAAGATGACACAATTGCATCGATAGGATTTCTTTGTCATTGAAATACTATTTCTTAAAACGTACTTACACTCTAGTGGATATAGCTGACATTTGTTGCTTTGTAATAATAAATAATACTTTTACACTGTCAAAATCTCATCGTTATTGTGGTCACTTCGGCCACTGCAGCGCCCCCCTCTGGTTCAACTTTTTTATAGGTAGACATGACGTAGATCAAAACTGTTTGTTTTCAGAGTAAAGAGAGTTTTTAAAATATTTATTCGTGTTTAATAAAAAAAACAAACATTTATGGGTGCCTTACATCTCACAGTAAGAAACCTAAAACCAAACAGTTTTAAAAAATTGATGTTTTCCTGATACTCTGGGTAGATTTTAAAAAACAGGTTTTGGATCAATAATAATTTGATAGTAATTTTTTCCCAAACAGTTATTAAAAGTGCGCACTGAAGCTCAGCATTCCCTACTTTACTAAAGCTACTCTATACATCGTTATTCCTGCGCGCTGTGGTTTATGTGTGCACTGTGGCTGAAATGTCACAGCTATCCTATGATGCACTGGACGTGGACGTAGCTGAGATTTTAAACAAAAGAGTGTGCTCAGTGAAATTAAACAGGGATTTTACAATATCACGTGGTACAAAATGCTCCTCCCACCAGCTGAAAGTGAACATGTTTGGAAATATTTGCTTTAATTTCTGACATATTATCTCAAATTACGTCTTATTTTCTCCAAATTATTATTATGTTAAACACACTTTCTCGACAAAGTAGACGTTCATTTTTGCAACATCATTATTCTGACTTACTAAGTCATCATTTCATCATTTAAATAAGTCACAGTTTGAAACTTGAAGGCCAAAAAGTCTTTTTCTTCCACCTAGTGGAAACAGGCTTTCACATGAAAGCACTGGAGCCAAACAGGGGTTTATACTGCATTGATCATATGTTAATTAAGAAGCTGCACCTGTGTTCTTTTGTATGGAAGTTCTCAGTAGACATCCTGCTAAACTGGCCATCCCTGCCAGGGCAAAGTGTCTGTAGACTGTAATTAGCTCCTCTGTTAGTAAGTCTGTTCATGCTGATGTGTACCGTAATTTATGTGGGACTGAAAATGTGAACCAGCAGCAGTACGCAATGAAAGATAATCACAGTATGTGTGCATATGTGAGAGAGTAAACTAGTCTGTAGAATTTCGTGGGAAGAGTGAGAGGCACTAAGGACATTGCACTTAAGTCACACTCTAGATTCTAGATATTGCTGTTAGGCTTAAAGCAGTGTCTCTGTGTAACACTACCGAACACAAAGAATTCACTAATTTATTCATTCAGTCCACCTTATTAGAAACACCTACCTTGTATGTCCACTCACTAGCTGTTTCATGAGCTTCAGTGACATGAACTGGTGTCACAATCTCTGCTATTGGAGATCTATTTTCCACAAGACTTTAGCTCCAACCCTAATCGATCCCACTTGATCCATCTAATTACTGTCTTCAGTAGTCCTGGCATAGCTGAATGAGGTTTGGGTTGGTGGTGAAACCTAAAGAAAGAGAGATCTCCAGGAGCAGGGTTGGTGATCACTGGTCTAGAGTATTGCTAACACAAAAACAGATGGGCTACAGTCTGTCATTGTACAACAGGAGGGTTGGGGGGTAGCTGGAGGTAGCTGTTTCTAATAAAGTGGCCAGTGAGTCTAATAATGCGGGAATATAATAGTTGCGTTGGTGGAATGTGCTAATGTTTGATCACTCTTAGATCTTTGTAGGACACAAACGACACTGTGGCTTTTATAATCATCACCTCAAAAAGAACCTATCTGAACTTACAATGAACTATAGACGAACTTTAATACCATGAGAATCATTGTAAAAGACGTGGACGCGAGGCTGCTGGTATGTGTGTTTATGTGAGAAGCTCATATGATTATACTGTTGACCTTTTCTTGCTGAATAATGCCATTTAGCAGCTGTGCGTGCACGCGAGAATCTTTAAAAGCTACGGAGCTTGCCATTAGTCATTTTAGCAAGTGTGTGATTCTACATGTGAACAGTAGGGAACCCTGAAGGCCTTCTAGGCGTTCAGAGAAGGCCTAATGAAATTCTCTGAAATACAAAAACACGTCTGTAATGTTCAGTTCATTTTTATTTAATCAGGGTTTATGCACTCAAGAGTGGAATTCCAGTAATTTTCCTTGTTATAAAATGAAATTTTCAAGCTAAACATTTAGCGTAGTGCAGGATCTCTTACCAAGCAGTTTGTGTTTAGTTTTTACATTTTATTTTTGGCACATTACTCCTGGTCGCCAATCACTGACCATTCACTTCAGTATTTTGCTTAAAATCCATAAAAATAAATTTAGGAACAATGATTTAATTCACTTTTAAAATGCTAAACGTTAATATCGTCCAATAGCACGATGCTGTAATATATTTCAAAATGTCTTGATATTGAACTTTAGCATAATCACACAGCACTAATTTAGACAACTCAGTTGTTCTGAGAGAAAAAAAAATATTTTAATTATTTTAATACTGAAACATCACAAGCACTCATGACTAGCAAGTCAGAATGCAATTTAAATGAAATGACATTAATGTTCCATAAATTCAGAGCCTTTTGTATGATGTATTTTGTTTTGACTTTTTTTGCCCCACATTCTCATGTGCAAAATGTTGATTGGTTTAACTTCCAAAGACTGGTTTAGCATCTCATCAAAACACGCAACAACCACGTAGTGCATGCACATCATAGTGATTAGCCTAACATGGTACTATCCACATTGTATTTAGCTTAGCTAAATGCAAATTAATAATAGTACCCATCTGGGGTGCAGACCAAGCACTGTGACTCACAGTACAGAAGCTAGTTGCTGAAAAGCATCTGAAAAGCTGCTTTCATTTGGCTTATTTATTCGCCTTCGCTCGGGTTTGAATGTAAAACCTTTCAGCATGCTGCACAAATTCCCCCGTGACTAACGCTAGTCAATGAGTGCGTTTATATGCACTCAATAATCTGATCACAATCCGATTTCTGCAGCTATCAGATTATTCAAATGGTTATGTGAAACACCATACTCCGATCTAGAAATCCAATTAAGAAATCTGATAAAGAGAGCTGGATTTTAGCTCAGTAATCAGATTTCTCAGTGCACGTAAACTCTTACCTGGATTTCTTTCGGATTTCTCGGTCTGCGCATGTGCGGAACAGACTGCTGTACCGGAGGAAAAGCAAGTGGCATTGCCACGAGGCGCAGCAAAACACTTTTGGAGCGATGCTGAAACCAACTACATTCTTGACGAAATTAAGCATTTAAATATTCTTCATCGTCTAGATGATGTATGTTCATTTTTCAGGTGAAGTGGCGCAATGTTTTTTCAAAAAAGCTGAGGCATGAAGTTTGATTTTACGTTACTTTTACGTCCTGTCTTCTTTGAGTTTATTGGCTGGTTGTAAAGCAGAAATCCGCGTACTGCCTGACTCATGTAGACCCAGAGTTTCCCCATTATCAGATTATTCAAGTGCATGTAAATGTGTTGATCAGATTACTGACAAAATCTAGTTTTCTGCAGTTATCAGATTATTAAGTGCATGTAAATGCACTCATTGTTAGTAAATCAGCTAGTCTGTTGTCAACTACATTAGTCTCTGGTCTCACTGTGTTATTTTCCAGATCTAGACTTCTCAGTGTTTCAAATGTGATGAGATGACAAATCACACTTAGTATTTTCCATGACTTTCCTGGGATTTTCATGACCATTTGAATGCTGTTTAATATAATCATCATTCTAGTTGCAAGTATTGTAAAACTTTTATAGTTACATGTTGGTTGAAAACAAAAGGGTTCAATTTTTTAAACCAAGTGAGCTCTCCAATTTGTTTGGACTTCAGGAGCGGAATGTGTCCAATGTGCCAGACTAAGCACCAACATGGTAAGGTACAGACAGTGGAATCAACCAATCATATTTTGTAAGAAAGCATCAATCTAAGCCTTCTAGAAGTCCTAGATATGTTATACGCCCTAGTTTAACCAGTGTGTTTCAGTCTTATGTTATAAATTCAAGGGGCAGCAGCTCTACTGTGGGGTTCTTTACTGACAGTGTCACTATCAGCTTCAAATAAAGCACTGAATGTCTTATACATGCTTCAGATGTCTGTGTTTAATCTAGAACAGCCAAAGAAATGTTAAAGTGAATCAAGCTAGCTTAGTGCTGACATACTAAAACCCCTTAAAAGCGCTAGTAGAAATTAGCATTATCACACAGCTGTTTTTTCTTCATTTTTGACCGATGTATCTGAGCCTTACTTGAGTTTGCTGTTAGCCCGGTTATAAGAGAATGAAGAAGTTCTGCTGCTCAGTGCTGCTGGAGTCTTGATGACTGACTCGAGTGATGGACTCTTCCTCATCAGAGACGACGGCTTTAGCTCATCACCTGCAAATGAGAGAAGCAGAGAGTTCACTGGCTGAAAGTATGAGAGGGTCTAGCTACGTTCCTGGATAATCACAGCTCTCTTTGTGGAATTTCACATTTTGATAAGATAGGTCCAGGGAATTCCAGTACTAACAAGCACCCCATAACTAAGCACAATGTGTCAAACAATGTCCATCTAATGCTGAATGAAGCTCTCAGATAAGAGAATGCATGTCAGATTTTTTTTGTGCACCTATGCCTTTATTCATTAAAGGGCGAGTGCAGTCAAATATGATCAATGAGCCATTTTCACCTACAGATTCAATATGCATCAATTTAATCTTTGGCATATCTGTGTGGTCAATATCATGTAAGGATGGAGTTGAGTATAATGGCTGAAAAGATCTGCGGGTATGTCATCAGAATCAATATCATTATTATAAATTATAATGTCAATAATAGCAATACAGTGAGAAAATATCAGAAACACTTTTCCTGCATAGCACTGATTTAACAATTCCATAAACACGTCATGGCTAACGTCACATGCTGTCATGAATTGTCATGACAGATTATGTCCAGTGATACAACGTCATATTACCATTTCCGGTAATTGTCATGAAGAATGTAATAATTTTTTGCTGCCACTTAATGTTTGCAAGTTTCTTCCCCAACATTGTAAATGTGAATAAGAACTTGTCTATTTGATCCTTATCAGCTCATTAGTCCTTCAATTGAATAATAATTATTAATAGCTAGATGTTTACCAACAAGGCATGCAATCCTGGAAGATTTAGCAGTCCTAACCTCAAATTCTAGCAGGCAAAATATTGCCTGTATTCATATAGCCACTGCTGTAAAATCAGGCTTTTTTCTTGATGGACGTCTCTCATTGTTATAGCAAATCACAGGCACAAAGGACGTTAAAAAAATGAGGCAGGAATCCAAATGGGATTCATGCTGTTCGCTAAATAGTTTGAATGTATTAACTGAAAGGAGTTCAGTTTTCTTAATACTCATTTTAAATGAATTGGATGATGGCCTGGCTAAAGCTAACACCGCTTGCTATGGGGGGGCTGCGGTCATAGGACCCAATCAGTTTCCACTCTGAAGAAGTCACACTCATATGTCTAAAGAGTCCGTCCCTCAAACAAGCCCACATAGCATGCGGTGTTAACTTTAGTCAAGACATACACCTTTTCTCTATACTTTTCCATGCATTTAACATGGATTAAAAAGAGAATTTAAGTCATTCTTTGGACAAATATGCCATATATTAAAGATGCTAAAGCTAATGCCATTTGACTCGGGCGCTGTCTGATAGACGGACTCACTAGGATTGTACACTGGTTGTATACAATTGTATGCAAAAGTTTGAACATTCCTAGTCAATTTTACATGTTTTGTTGATTTTCTAAGTGAAAATCCTCTACAACAGTTGGATACACCAAATGATGTTGGGGGTACGAATATTCAGATGTTCCACATCATTTAATCTTCGTTTCATTAGCTGGCTGTGCAATCATACAGGGACCTATATGGTTACTTCTTGTTCAGGCACTGAACAAAAGCTCCTCACTGAAACTGCTACAAGTGGATTTATGCATACTGAATTTAATGTAAAGACAAACATGCATGAGTGATGAGTGAATACTGAATTTTATAACATTCAGCACCTCACAAATCTGTGCTCTAATAGGTATTTTGCTCTTGGGTTATTATTTGTATAAAAGGCTGTGTTGAAGAAGAATGCATTTTACTCCTTCTGGAGCAACTAACTTACTCTTCATTCTTTAGTTTATTGTGCGCCATTGTTGGCAAGAATGAAGTATCGTTTACTATCTCTTATTAAGGCCTGTGTGATCCTCACTGTGTACTTTAGTTAGTTTCACTTTCACAGACTCAGTTCAGTTCACGGTTGTGGTGAGAGTTTAGTTTGTAGCTGCTTTGATTAGCGCTTGGCTGTTAGCATTTTGGTTAAGTTTCTAGAGCTGGTTTGAGCTGTAGGGCTGTTAAAACCAATTTTATACTGTGAAATCTGTGCATGTTAAGTGTAAGGAATGAGGGGGGTACGCAGCAGGGGGTTTTAAAACTGTAATATGTTTGGGAACCACTCCTCTACAACAAATACATTTAAACATGGTAATTTTCTGCAATTTTTGAGCACAGTTTGTATTTAGTCATTGTACTAAATAAATTGGAAAAAATAAAAAAACAAAATAAACACATTTTATGTGCCATATCAGGGGTGCCCAAACTTTAGCATACGATTGTAAGTGGGTCATTCTCCATTTGGAGTGGGAATTCAGGTGGATACATTTTTTAAAAATCAATTTCTTTAATTCTAAAACTAAATAATCTTAATATGTGCATTAAGGGCTCCTATTGTCATTTGCACAAAGGAGAGCTTAATTCCAAACACATTATACAGTCACTGGTGTTATATGAATATGGCGTAACACCAGTGACTGTGACACGAGTGACATTAAGGCGCGCAACAGTGGTGACACATAAAAGTTATGTGCTACCTGATTAACAAAATTATTAATAAATTAATGAAATACAGTGAGCAAGTGTGGACTTGCCTTCTCATGCCTTGATATGCTTCCTCTGTGATGAGCTTTGACTCAAGACAGCACTTTAATAGAGTTAAAAATACTATGTTAAAAATATAATACAAAAGTCCTGATAACACCAGTGAACAAAATCTCTGTGATTTTTTTAGATTTTTGAAATGTAGTATAATTTTAATGATATAAAAGTAAACATGAATCTGTTTTATACAAATTCCTAAGTTAAACCTCTTAAAAATATTGTTTTATATTACAAATGGTTTCTCAAATGTTGAAAATTGGTTTTGTGATGAGCTGTTTTACATAAGCAGAGCGACTATGAAACAGGATAAAAAAAGAAAAATCAGAGGAATCATAAGGGAAAAGTAATATTTAATCTCAGGTCAACTGTGTAAATGTACATACCAACTTTGGAGCTGTGCCTAATATTTTAAGCATCTTTTTAAGCCCTACAAACTTTGTGACATGGTTTACCACTCCAAATGGAGAACGCCCCAGGTGTGACTTCTTCAGATACCCAAGATACCAGTCTATTCAGTTCGAAAGTTCTAATTCCCTGTCACCAGACATCCTAGTGGAACTGAAGACTCAGTCTTAAGAAGACCTCTGTGTTGTGCTTGTGTGTTAATCTGTGACTGGGTAGATTTTCTAACAGAGGACAGCAATGTCTCATGAACTTCAGGAATGCTTTCCTTTTCTTGGTTCACACCTGCATATATTATGGAGCGTGTCATGTAAATGATATGCATATGAGGGTAGTTTGGAGCTTGTCATTTGCAATGTGTAGATAAGGGACTAGATATGTAAAGAGGGATTAGTGTGAGCATGCTTCTTTCCATGCAGCAAAAGCTGATTCATCATTTGTGCTCAGATTCCTGCTCATTTCGATGCCAAATGATGCTTTTATGAATCAAATGTGAAGCAGTTTGTTTGTTATTCCGGACACTCCAATCTGTGCTCAGTTCTACACAACCTCTGCTTATTATTCTAATACAAGCTGAATGGTTAGACAGTGTGATTTCAGTATTGAGTCAATTTACTGTGAAAGCCCCACCAGAGACATATAACATGACTAGAGACAGCTGGGTCTGAGTCATGTCTCTTATTGCGTACTGACTCCTGCTGAGGGCGTAAGTAATGTCAAGCTCACAGGGAACCCTACCATGATAAACAACTTATAACTGCACTGCGGCAAGAACTCTCATTTACTCAGTTACATGTATTTACATAAGCGCACTTCTTTGAGTATTTTTAAATGATAATACTTCTACTAATACTCAAACATACTGTTACCAACCAAAAACAATGAAGGGTTCAGACCTAAGATAATTACAAGGATTATGTTATGGTCTATTTAAACCAAAGGCATTAATAGAAGTAGTAATAAGCTAAATGTATACAAAATCATCATTTATAGGGTACTTTCTATTGGGAGGTGGCTGTCCTAAACCCTAACCCTTACATTTCAACTTCTGAAAATAATACTTTTTTTCAATGTTGTTTTTAAGATCTTTTTGATTTCATTTAAAGCAAAGTTGAAAGACTTAGACGTATCATAAGTTTAATTTTTTAAATAAAACAACTTCATTAAAAAAGTGGCATCTCACGGTTTCAGGGCAAGATTCATGAAATTCAGAGTTTCAGAGGTAACTGCGCTATTCCACGCAAAATGTGTGGCACGGTAAATAGAGCTATTCATCAAAGCTCCACAGCAGTGATTAGTGCACTGTATTTTTAACAATGTGGTATTTTCACCTGTATCCTAGACAAGAGGCAATCAAATTCCACATGTAAATGAGGTCATACATATTAAAGACTCAGGCCAAGTGAAGCTCCAGTTGGCAATTCAGTCAACTGATCCATACACAGACATTCAGGGGATGGGGGGGGGGCTCAACGCACAAAAAGGCTAACATGAACCGAAATTAAAATTTATTTAATTTACAGTATACTGCAAATACTTATATTAAGAAAGACAGCTATCATGTTTCAGAGTAAGCCAAGCCTAGTCTTTAGAGTGTTTTCCCAAGGCAGCCAGAAATACTAGCTTCACTAGAGATTTGAACTCTTAACTCCAGGCTGTCAGATTATCCACTATGCTATCTAAAACTGTGAGTCAGAATTGTTCACAATATTGGTCATAGGAACCAGATGTCCGCAACGTTTAATTTCTGTTTAATGGCAACTCCCTTACAGAAAGTTATTACACAAAAGGGTTATGAATACACAGACGGATGCCTGAGACATTGCTGTATAATAGTTTTGAGATTAGGTTTTGGCTCAAAACATGTTTTGTTTCATCTATTCACAGTGGAGGGGTACATACAGGGCATTCTAAGGCAAAACAGTCCCCAAAGAAAACTTCACTACTCCTTTGCCATGATCAGCATCACATACAAAAACTAAGAAGACATGCAAGTTCACTGGTTATTTTTGAGCAGTTAATAAAATTGCTATATTTGTGTTATGGCTATGCTGTATTAGACACTGTGACCCCTGGTTCCATTTCCATGCTGTGTTGACTCGCTAGCTCTGTTCCTGGGGCGAGGCTGAGCTAAGCTGAAAAACATCTTGAAGAATGAATCATACAAAATAAAACACAACTAATATACATGCCAATCAAGTGTGCACTCATACAGCTTGAGATTAAAGGGGCAGGGACTCAAGCCCCCACAGTCTATCTGTGCACATTCCTTTTTCCTCAGTTCCACTTTCATTCACTACTTTTACTTCTGCTTGTGTCATTTATTTGATCATGTAATGACCTTGTCTTGAGTCTTTGTCATGTCCTTTGACTTAAGTATGGGTTTATGATACTCGGACCACCTCTGGTCATTGTGAAGGACAATCCTTCCTCAGTATAATAGGGTGTAAGTTGTGATTGCCTCTTCAAATGAGTACCTGGGTGTGGGAAATCTCCAAGGTTGATTCTTCTTTCCAAGGTTTTAGGCAGTGGCTTGATACTCGAATGCCTCTGCGAAAAAACATCACAATCTTCATTCAATAATACATTGAGTTACCAGTTTATCAGGCACACCTACTTCAAACCTACACTAATATGCCATTTAATCAGGAACACCTACCTTTGTAGGTTTACAATTGATTACTGTAGCCTATCTGTTGCTGCACAGTTTATTCACCATATACTCTCAGCAAAATGAGTTCTTTATAGTACCAATGAGGACAAACAGTGTCACTGATCTGAAGCACTACCACTCAAAACGTACTTGAATGCTAATAGCGCCCCCTTGAGGAGAATTTTAAGTCTGCTAAAAGTGTAAATGAGTTACAAGCCAGGTACTTTCTAAAGAAAGATCATAAGATATTTAACAATAGTGAAAGTCCTTATGGTGCCATATACAATATTTCCAAAGGGCCCATATCATGGAAAAACAAATTTCCTCACTTTTTTGTAATAAAAAAGGCATTTGATGTAATATACAAACTTTGTTAAAGTTTTAAATTTTACCATTCACTCATTAGTCCATTTAAGGAAACTAAGGAAACAGCCTGTTTTCAATTCATAGTTATTTAGAAGGTTTATGTTATATGACTTATTTAAAATCAAGGTGTTAATAGAGACAGTTATAAGGTAAATTTATATCAATTTGGAGGTGGCTGTCCCAAAACCCTAAATTTCAACTTGTGAAAGTAATACAATTTTTCAGGGTTGTTTTTAAAAAGATATTTTTGATTTCTTTTAAAGTGAGGTTGAGAGATTTATATTTATCATGAGTTTAATTTTAAAAAAATAAAAAGAAAATCATTTTATTGTCAGTACTGAAACAGTCCATAGGTGGAGCCTTATTTTAGCCACAACCCTGCATTTCAAAGCAGGATTTGAGACTGCAACCCTCATGGCCAAATAGTGAGCAGTTAAATCCCACTGTTTTGAAGCAAACTCAGTATGTAACATTAAGAGTTCTGCAAGTAAACATTTTTGTGTTTTAATGAAAAATATTCACCACATACATCATAAAGGCTGTCCCATTTCTACATAATGTGGAGGATCCTTGAAATGTGGCTGAAAAGTGCATCCTTCTTTAAGACGAATTCTGAAGATGTACAGATGTATCCTTCTCAGCCTTGAGTTCCCATGAGCCTCTGCATCGTAAGCTGCTACAAAATTGGAGCAGAACCAGTTCGAAAGGAGCATGGGAGAGTTTGTTTTTCAATTTATGTTGCTTCCCTTTGTTGTGAAAATTAGCACCAGTTTACCACATAAATGGCAGTAAAGGATGTTAGTGTCCTGTTGTTGTCCTGGATGACAGACTATATTTTTAGTATTACTGTGTAAAGTTCACTCACATTAATTTAAGTATGTCAGGTAACAGGTTAAACAAGGGAGACAAAGCTACATTTAAACATTCTTAATTAAAATAAAACTGGCCAAAGCTGGCTAATGTTACTAGCCAAAGCTAAACCTGAACTTGAAATACATAGCTGACTGGGGAGTGGCAGCAGATGGGGACAGTCACAATATTAACTAACGTTAACCTGTTAGTGCAGTGAAAGTTTAACTTCAATTGTGATTTTGTGATTTGGTTTCACATTTATTATGATGGCACATACAAAAAGTCGTTCCCTGAATCACTGAAGCATTCAATTGGTTCTTTATGTTGTAACAGTTATATATTTCGTCATTGCCTTTAAATAACCCATAAAGACCCTGTTTTTTTTTAAGTGTTCAGGACCACTGTAAACCAGATATTATTTGGGTGATGGATTATTCTCAGCACAGCGGTGACACTGACAGGGTAGTAACACGGTAGTGTGTGTGGGGCTGGTACGAGTGTATCAGGCACAACAGCAATATTTGGGATTTTACATACTTTTACATACTTCAGTGTCACAGTCTCAAACCACAAGGTACACCAACAAGGCAGGTGTGTCTAATAAAGGCACTAACAATAAGACGAATTATTACTGTCCCATGTTTCTAACACATTGCGAGATCCGTAGTACCTGTATGGGCGAGACAGCAGCAGCAGGAGCGGTACGCACTGGTATTCCACTTAGTGGGCTTCTGGGAGTTGAATGCATCTGCACTGTGCTGCCAGGTCCATCTAAAAGAAATATTCAGCTCAATATGTTCCATAAAAATGGCAATAAAAAGCATCTTGAAGATGAAGAGTGTATGTATCCAAAGTTCAGCTTTAAATGGTTTTGAGATTGAAATGTAGCTCAATTTAGTTTATGTTGCACATATAATATATGTAATTTTATAACGTTTTGCTACTGGCTGATTAGCAGATGAATGAGTGTCGAAGACCAGACACTCCTATGGGCTATATTTCATGAGCCCATTGTAAAAGTGTTATGATTACATCTGTGTAAGATGAATTGTAACAGGCATTAATAACAAATGGGCCTCTTTGTCTTTGTTATTACAAGAGCATTAAATAAGCTCTCTAGCCTGTCACGCCATCTTTTTAAAATGAATAGTGAAAGTTCTCATATCTCCCTTCTGATAGCTCGTAGGAGTTTCGCTCCAACACAGAGATGGGCTGAACTTAGGAACATAGGCTTAGGAAAGCAAACTGGCCACAGCAATCAGACCAGCCTTTCCTGACCTTTGCACAGCAGCATGATAGATGGAGGCTGAGATGATACAGATGTTTGGAGAACACTGTAGCTAGCAGCTGTTCTCTGCTGATAGAGCCACACCGATATTGTTAAAAAACTTTCAGAGTGTGATATAAAGTACTGTGCAACATATTCAGCTGGACACTTAGTGTGCTTTTGCATTTGTTGCCTTTCCCAGCACCAATATTTATCTGAATTTATTCTACTGTTACGCAGTACTGTGCTTAAGTCAGAGAGCACCCTTCATTTTTTTCATTGTCAGGCAAACAGCAATTATGTTAAGGAAAAAACAGAAAACATAAGTATAATTATACAGAGGCCTCAACAACTTCATATGATTTCACTTTTTTCAGTATTTAATGTGTCTGCCCACTGCATTTATTTTAGCTGCCATTCCAGGAGACTTGCTTTCAGTTTTCCAAAACAACGTGTAGGGATATTTTTCCACTCCTCCAAAGCTCAGTCTTATAAGTTGGTTGCATTTTGTGCTTCTGACAAAGAGTTGAACGTGATTTTCTTTCAACGATGAAAGCGTTGAGTACTGTTTATCTGATAGTGACAGTTCAGTCTACCAGCTCTTGCACAGTTGTTAAGAGTCCATATTTCTCTATATCATTTTTTGAACTCTTTTTTTTTTACTTAATTTAACTTGAGCTTCCTTATGCAAGTGGATTATCTTATATCTAATCTCCTTAGTAACACCTCCTACAAAAATAAATAACTTGTACTTAATGGCAATTTTGACTGGAAATGAAATAAATGGGGTCTCTGATCCTTACACAGCACTGTAAATATAGAAAATAATTCCTTGGATTACAAGAAATCATTGTAAGTCACTTACAATGACTTACTAGCTAAAAGTATCTGCTAAATATGTAAATATTAATGTTAAAAAAAAGAAATTGGCGTCCAAATTGAGGAATGGAGCTGTAGATGATTCTATAATAATTGACAAATTTGTACAACATTGAAAATGTTATGTTAGAGCCTAATGTAATATCCAGAATAAAATTATATATTTTAAAGTTGGTGATCAAATCTCAGGGCAGATAACATGAAAAGACATTACTACAAATAGACAACTCTAGTACACTGTTTATCACTTCCTTCCCAAAATGTTGAATAAAATGTCTAAAATACCATTTGGCGTGTGGTTTATAATATCTAAATCTACACTGCATCTGTTACTGCATGAAATTAAATATTAACATGGAGCAGAAGTATGAGTTGGTGAGGAGAAATTAAAAGAGAAATAGAAAGAAAAAGCAACATAAACAGGTAGACTTGGTTACAGTGGAGGGTCCTCACTCTTAACAGCTGTGTCAAAGGATTTGATGAGGGATTTAACGGTGGCTCCGGGTTCCGTGGGTGTGCTGCTTCCACTCCCACTGCCGCTGGTCAGCAGGGTGCTGGATGCATTCTGGGTCACTGAGATGCCACACCAGTGAGGGCTGCTGTCAGAATCTGAGAGGCTTCCTTCTTCCACCCGTGACCTGCCAATCACACACAGAGATATAGAACGAAGCAGTGCAAAGTGTTCGCCACACATTATACTGTGACAAACTGTACACAGACCATAGGTCAAATAGGTCAGAGATGCTGGGTTATGCTCCACTTGACCTAATGTGGCCTAGACTATAGTTTAGAATGTTTCTACAGTATTAGGACTCACTGTGAATTTATAAAACTACGTTGCTAGGAAACCATTTCATCCAATGTGGACTAGACCATAGCTTGGAATGCTGCTACGCTATTTAGCTAGTAGTATACATCAAACTCAAATGAAACAAATCACCACACAGTCATAAGCATCCTTAAAAATGCGATGCATTTCTCAGCCGTGCTCTATGCAGTGAACGAGTCGCAGTCATGGGGAGGTCTCAGAACGAACAACGCTGTGATTAGGACCAAAAACAGTCAGGGGATGTCTGAGAACAAACAAAACAGTGATTGGTGACCCCTTGACTGTGACTGGTCCAATCACAGTCACCACTTTGAGAGGTCTCAGAACAAACAACACAATAATTAGAACCAATCACAGTCAGGGGGAGGTTTTAGAAGAAACAACACTGTGATTAGGACTAATCAAGGCAAGGGAAGGTCACAGAACAAATGATTCTCTGAATAGGATCACAGTCTGGGGGTGGTCTCAGAACAAACAAAGTGGTGATTAGGACCACTCACAGTCAGGGGGAGGTCTCAGAACAAACAAAGTGGTGATTAGGACCAATCACAGTCAGGGGGACGTCTCAGAACAAACAAAGTGGTGATTAGGACCGATCATTGTCAGGAGGAGGTCTCAGAACAAGCAAAGTGGTGATTAGGATCAATCACAGTCAGTGATTAGGACGAATCACAGTCAGGGGAAGGTCTCAGAACAAGCAACGTGATGATTAGGACCAATCACAGTCAGTGATTAGGACGAATCACAGTCAGGGGAAGGTCTCAGAACAAACAAAGTGGTGATTAGGACCAATCACAGTCAGTGATTAGGACGAATCACAGTCAGGAGAAGGTCTCAGATCAAGCAAAGTGGTGATTAGGACTAATCACAGTCAGTGATTAGGACCAATCACAGTCAGGAGGACCACTCAGAACAAGCAAAGTGGTGATTAATGCCAATCACAGTCAGGGGAAGGTCTCAGAACAAGCAAAGTGGTGATTAGGACCAATCACAGTCAGGGGGGAGGTCTCAAAACAAGCAAAGTTGTGATTAGGACCAATCACAGTCAGGGGGAGGTCCCAGAGCAAAGTTGTGATTAGGGCTAATCACAGTCAGGGGGATCTCCAGAACAAATGATTGGATAGTTAGAACCAATCACAGTCCGGGGGAGGTCTTACAACAAACAGTGGGGGGTTAGGGCTTCTGTTCAGCAAGCAGCTCAAACTGCATCCAACAAACTCAAACCATTGTGTTGTTTTGGCCAAAAAAGATTTTTGCTTGAAGTAGTTTCCTCAGTTTATTTGTGGAATATTTCCTGCAATTTCTCTTGAAAGTTTTATCTTAGTTTTCATCCATCCATCTGTCTGGCTTTATACTTCAACCGCCTCCCCCAAATGTGTTCTTTCTGTTGTAAGGTTGGACAGGCTTTGCATAATATTGGCAAAAAACTGTAGAAACTCAGTTTATGTCTGTATATGTTATCATGCTACTACAACATTTATGTTACTCCATTTTGCACAGTGTATATTAGACCATAGTTTGAAATACAGCTTTATATTGTAAATTACATTCACAAAATGGTTGATTCGCATGCACTTCATTTTATCCAGTGTGGCCTTGGAATGCTGCTACAATATATGCTTCATTCATAAATTACTTTAAAACATAATAATGCTAGAACATATCCTATTTCCCCAACATGTCCAAGGCCACAGCTTGCAATGTTGCTACAGTATTGTGTTTCAACTATAAACTTCATTCTCAAAACTGACACAAGATACATCTGACATCAGATATTATTACCACGTTGATATACTTACACACAACTTATCAGCAAAATCAACAAACATTTTAACACTTCATAAACTTTCACCTTAATCTTAAATGGTCCCAAGCCATTTACATCACATATGGCTTCCCGAAAATGGATGTGCAGAAACATGGGAAAATAAAAGACAATCCCCAGAGGAAGCGACCTTAAAGAAACACACATGGACATACGAAACCATGACAAAACTGTGATTTATTAACCTCAAAATAACAACGCTCAAGATAAAAAGGTGAATCATCATACATTAATAACCACATGTGATCAGAAATAGACAGCATTTTGGTCACGGATGTCCATGTTGTCAGAGTTGCACACAACATTGGCTTAAACAGTAAATAAATTAAATCTTTGCACATTCATGGAATCTCAAAGTACATGGCTTGTTTTTGTTTTCTGACCTGAATGATCACGTAATCATATTTCCGGCAAGGTTATATCCTGAAGTATTCATACTAGCATGTGCTAGTAAAATCAAAACAGAGTGTTGTATGCTCTTGAGCATGCAGTGCATGGCTGACTGAAACCTGAGATTCGCAAAATGGCAGTAAAGTATCCGACTGAGGATCGCTGAATGGCTCTTCTGTGTTGATGACAATTAAAACGATTAAGACATTCATGTTTGAAGAAAGCTCGAAATGTAATTTAAAAGTAAAGCAGGCCACTGAGTGTTCTTACACAGTCAGTAAGGGGGTGTAGAGAAGGAAAGCTATCACAGATGAGGACACAAATCTAAGTGTTTCCAATGTAAGTTCGTATTTTCAAAGTTTAACAGGATGAAAAGCACTTACTATATTAATAGCTAAATCACTTTAGGCCTTGAACTTTGATTTTACAGTCTCCTATAATACTACCATGTTACCATGTGCCATCTAGTGGTGGCTCTAAAATAACAGCACAATGCCTAAGGATGTTTCTTACAAAACATTTTATATGAGGGCACAAAATTATTCTTGGCAGTTCAAAATCGAACTAAAAATATACTTTTAGGCCTTTAAAGGGAGGAAAAACACATAAAATCAAGACCACAAGGCACGTCCTTGTTGATGTAAACATTCTGAAAGAACATAAACAGTACAGTGCATGGAACCATACACTAAATCAAGCTGTAGAACCTTTCAGATTATAATATTTACAGTTTTTAGAAGTCTTGATAATCTTATTAAATTAATTTGGTCTTAAATCAAGCTGTCAAGTCGGTCTAACTGATAAACACAAACCATTAAAGCAAACCTAGAAAGTGCTGGTTTGGAAACAGTTTGATATTGGCTTTCTCTCTAAGGCAGTACATTATAGCATCAGTTTTCATGTTAAAAAGAAAAATATAAACAGTGTTCATCAGGAAAAATACACCAGTGTAACAGACACACTGTATGCTTGTTCATTTTTCTTTTTTTTTTTTTCATTTCTCATCCATGTTTCAGACATGTTAAACATGTCTCATATTTACCATTTTGCTCAAGCCAAGGCCAAATTATTAAAACAAATGAAGTGCATTAAAGTTTTAACTATCAACTACAGTATTAACTATTATCTATTAAAGGATTATGCAAACATTTTCAACTTGCTCTCTATCTGCCACATCTACATCATATAGTGCGGACAGTAATTTCAACACATTATGAACAATTCAAACTTCTATTATAACTGTGTTTCGAGCCAACAAATGACTGTCTGTGCACTCTACAGACCCAGCAAATAGAGATTAGGTTAAAAATGCTGTATTCCTTTAATTATTATGTTACACATTTCACAAGAATTTGAGAGGATATTTTTACATATGTATGACATTTAAAATCCAGCTTGTTTTCTCTGAATAAATATGCCATGTGAATAATTACATATTTTGCACATGAAATTTTAAATGCAATTATGTATATGGATCATTTTACCAAATTGGTTCAGAGTTCAAAATACATTTTGGACTTTTAATTGACTTGGACTTTAAACTAAGATCCTTTTGCGTTGAACTTTAATTATGTTTATTTTATTGAAACAAATGACTGAAAAATCCATTATGTCAAAACAAACAATTGTAACTCTGCAGAAACTTTACCCAATGTTTCACATTGGCAGCTTTGTACAGTTGAACACACATACAATATTTTTCATTAAAACTCAAAGTTTACTTAATTACTTAAAAACATATCGTCGCTGTCCAAAGACAAACGAGTATCTCCAAAATAGTAACTTCACAGGTGAAAGCAAAAACATGATTTACTTTCAATATAAGTTAATGTGAAGAGATTTTATTCCAAGCATTTTGGAGCATTTCTATTGTTCCAAGCTTCATGAAATTTTCACACAATATAAACAACAGCTTCTGCGCTCAAATGATGTAGAAAAGCAGAAATCAAAAAAGAATGGAGAGACGTTTTTCTTCAGACAGCAACAACATGTTTCAGAATTGACAATTCTTAAAGTTACACAATGATTTATTTTCGGCTTTGAAACAAATTTTCATCACAACTATGGGATTTAACTGCTCACCATGTGGACATAAGGAAGAGGTTTGATAAGGGAGGGATGCAGTCTCATCTTCTGCTCTAAAATGCAGGGGTGTCTTTAAAATAAGCCTCTGCCTATAGACTAAAACTCTGTGTTTCATTAGTGACATTTTTGTATTCATGGTACATCTACTTCTTTCAACTTCAAAAGAAATCAAAAAAGTTTAAAAACAAAAACCTAAATCATATAAGTGTTATTTTCACAAACTGAAATTTAGGGGTCAGGGTTTGGGACAGACAACTTCTGACAGAAAGTACCCTACAAATTATGATTTTGTATACATTTAGCTTATTACTATCTATATTAATGCCCTGGGTTTAAGTAGTCCATGTCATAATCCTAAATATTTAAGGTCTGAATACTTCATTTTTTTTTAAACTATAGGACTGCAGTTTGAACTGATTCGGTAGAATGGTCCATATATGTGATTGTAGATTCATGTTAACATCGTTTTTCCAAAAATAATACTTATACACATATATCTGTGTTGTAAT